TGACTTTTATCAATCTCCTCAGCAATACTGGCGTTGTCCGAGTCAATAATTTCCATAGAGTTATTTGTAGAAACAGAGCTATCTCTTCCGTCAGACTCCTCATCAGCTTCGTTAGAATCATTTTCAGACGCAATATGTTCACTTTCATCATCTTCCTGTCCAGCGGTACTAGAGTTATCCGAGTCAATTATTTTCATGGAATAATTTTCTGCAGCAGAACACATACATTCAGTATCCTCCTGTCCAGCAATACTGCGGTCGTCCGAGTCAATAGATTTACTGGAATTTTTGTGAGAGCTATTTTCAGAAACAGAGCTATCTCTTCCGTCAGTCTCCTCATCAGCTCTGTTAGAATAATTTTCAGGTGAAATATGTTCACTTTCATCATCTTCCTCTCCAGCGGTACTAGAGTTATCCGAGTCAATTATTTTCATGGAATCATTTTCTGTAGCAGAGCACACAAATTCATTATCCTCCTGGCCAGCAATACTGCAGTCGTCCGAGTCTGTAGATTTGGTGGAATTATTGTCAGAAGCCGAGCCACCACTATCATATTCCTCCTTTCCGACAATACTGGAGTTGTGTGGGTCAGTAGATTTGATTGAATTATTGTCAGAAGCCGAGCCTTTACTATCGTCGGTCTCCTGGCCAGCAATACTGGAGTTGTGCGAGTCAATAATTTCCATGGAGTTATTTTTAGAAGCAGAGCTATCTCTTCCGTCGGTCTCCTCACCAGCTTCGTTAGAATCATTTTCAGACGCAATATGTTCACTTTCATCATCTTCCTGTCCATCGGTACTAGACTTATCCAAGTCAATTATTTTCATGGAATCATTTTCTGCAGCAGAGCACCCACATTCATTATCCTCCTGTCCAGCAATACTGCAGTCTTCTAAGTCAATAGATTTGATGGAATTATTGTCAAAAGCCGAGCCTTTCCTATCGTCGGTCTCCTGGACAGCTATATTAGAATCATTTTCTAGTGCATTATCTTGAGTTTCATCAGACTCCTGTCCAGCAATACTGGCGTTGTTCGAGTCAATAATTTCCATGGAGTTATTTTCAGAAGCAGAGCTATCTCCTCCGTCAGTCTCCTCACCAGCTTTGTTTGAATCATTTTCAGTCGCAATATGTTCCCTTTCATCGTCTTCCTGTCCAGCGGTACTAGAGTTACCAGAGTCAACACTTTTCATGGAATTATTATCTGCAGCAGAGCCATCACATTCATCATCCTCCTTTCCAGCAATACTGCAGTCCTCCGAGTCAATACATTTGACAGAATTATTGTCAGAATCCGAGCCATCACTATCGTCAGTCTCCTGGACAGCAATACTGGAGTTGTGAGAGTCAATACCAGATTTGTTAGAGAAATTTTCAAGGGAAATATCTTCACTACCAGCATCATCCTGATTTTTAGAAGCAAAGTTATCGCTTTCGTCAGAGTCCTCACCAGCTTTTTTAGAATCATTTTTAGTGGCAATATGTTCACTTCCAGAACTCTCCTGGCTATTTATTGTAGAATTACTTTTACGAGCAATATCATCACTCTCGTCACTCTCCTGTCCAGCAATACTAGACTTTGCTGAATCAATAATTTCCATCGGGTTATTTTCAGGGCCAGAGCCATCACTTTCATCAGTCTCCTGACCACCTTTGTTGGAATCATTTTTACGAGCAATACCTTTGCTCTCATCACTTTTATGTCCAGCGGAACTGGAGTTGTCCGAGTCAATAGTTTCCACAGAACTTTGTTTAGAAGAGATGCTATCACTTTCGTCAGTGTCTTCACCAGCTTTGTTAGAATCATTTTGAGGGGAAATATGTTCACTTTCAACATCCTCCTGTCCAGAGGTAGTGGATTTTTCCAAATGAATGGTTTCTATGGAATTATTTTTAGAAACGAGGTCTTCACTCCCACAACTCTCCTGGCTATTTATACTAGAATTACTCTTAGGAGCAAGTTCAACATTTTCGTCACTCGCAATACTGGAAATATCCGCGTCATCAATTTCCATGGAATGATTTTCTGAAGCAGAACCATCACTTTGATCAGTTTCGTTAGAATCTTTTTTGGGAGCAATATCTTCACCGTCATCACTCTCTCGTTCAGCGGTACTGGACTTGTCCAAGTCAGTCATTTCCACATAACTTTTTTTGGAAGATAGGCTATCACTATCGTCAGAGTCCTCGCTAGCTTTGCTAGAATCATTATTAGTGGCAATATGTTCACTTTCATCATCCTCCTGTCCAGATTTACTGGAGTTTTCCGAGTGATAACTGTCAATGTCCTCATTAGCTTTGTTAGAATCATCTTTGGGGAAAATATGTTCACTTTCATCATCCTCCTGTCCAGAGTTACTGGAGTTTCCCGAGTGATTACTGTCAATGTCCTGATTAGCTTTGTTAGAATCATCTTTAGGCGAAATATGTCCACTTTTATCATCCTCCTGTCCAGAGGTACTGGACTTTGCCGAGTGAATAGTGTCGGTGTCCTCACCAGCTTTGCTAGAATCATTTTTAGTGGCAATATGTTCACTTCCATCATCCTCCTGCCCAGAGTTACTTGAGTTTTCCGAGTGATTACTATCAATGTCCTCATTAGCTTTGTAAAAATCATCTTTGGGGGAAATATGTTCACATTCATCATCCGCCTGTCCAGAGGTACTGGAGTTTTCCGAGTGAATATTGTCAGTGTCCTCACCAGCTTTGTGATTATAATTTTTAGGGAATCTATGTTCACTTTCATCATTCTCCTGTCCAGAATTACTGGAGTTTTCCGAGTGATTACTGTCAATGTCCTCATTAGCTTTGTTAGAATCATCTTTGGGAAAAATATGTCCACTTTCATCATGTCCAAAGGTACTGGAGTTTTCTGAGTGATTACTGTCAATGTCCTGATTAGCTTTGTTAGAATCATCTTTGGGCGAAATATGACCACTTTTATCATCCTCCTGTCCAGAGTGAATAGTTTCTATGGAATTATTTTTTGAAACGGGGTCTTCACTTTCACCACTCTCCTGGCTATTTATAGTAGAATCACTCTCATGAGCCATATCTTCAGCCTCAGCACTCTCCTGTACGCCTATATTAACATTGTCCAACTCAAGAACTTCCATTGAATTATTTTCAAGAGCAATATCTGCAATTTTATCACTCTCAAGTCCAGCTTTACTCAATTTTGTCAAATCAGCCTCACTTTCATCAGCCCTCTGTCCAGCTGCACTGGATTTAATCATCGAATTATTTACAATTTCAGCGGCAGCCTTTATAGGGGCCATGGATTTCTCTATGAAAGCAACAGATTCTTTTGGAATAGGTTCACATTTACCAGAATCTGAAGTTGAATCCATAGACAAGCTTGCGTCAGTTTCCTGTTTATGTATAATTTCCATATCTTCGCCTTTGTCACTCTTTTCTCCTCTATTGGACAACTCAATCACTTCCTGTCTAATGGACTTCATAGAGTCATCCATTATCTTTGAAATATCTTCGAATTTACTAGCTTCACTCACATCACGCTTCTGACCTACATTATTGGATTTAATAAAGGAATTATTTGAAAGATCTGTGGATTTCTTTATAGGAGTTGAAGAATTATCTCTAACGCGCTCTGTAATATCCAAGGATTTTCTTCTAATAGGTTCACTGGTATCAAAATCTTGAGTTATATCTACAATATCTTCACCTTTATCATTACATCCGAGTTTATTGGATTTCTCCAATTCAATAGTTTCGTTGGCATTATCAAAACTCATGGAGTTCTTTTCAAAATCCATGGGTTCACTGACATAAATCTTTTGTCCAGCATCATTGGATTTTTCCAACTCAATTATTTCTATGGAATTAATTTCGGAAGCAAAATTTCCACTTTTAGCACCTTCCTGACAGGAAATATCGAGGTTGTCCAAGGCAATACGTTCCATGGAATAGATATTTTGAGGAACACTTTTTTCACTTTCATCTTGTCCAGCTTTATCAAATATGCCTAAATCAATACTGTCCATAGAATTAGATCTAACCGATGTACTGATAATTTCAGGAATTTGAAAGGTGGCATCTCTGCATATATCGGTTAGAACCACTCTTAGATCTTTGATTCCAACAAGATCTTCACTTTCATTTTCCATATCACATTCAGTTTCACATTTTTGGGAATCAGAAACGCCAGGAGTTTTAAAATTGGTTTCATCTTCCAAATCAGATTCATCAGCCTCATCACCGCTTTCTTCATTATCAATTTGCTTGGCTGAATTACAAATTTTAGCTCCAACAGCAATTTGATAACTAGATGGATCAGATATGCTATCACTATTAATTAATTCATCTTTCTGAATAATATTATCTGTCTCAGAAACTGTACATTCCCCATCAGTATCTTCAATAATAGCTTGGTTTTTGGATCGGCTATGAGTTTTATCAGTTTTAGTATATGGCTCATATTCGTCGTCAGAATCAGCAAGCCATTTGTCCTCATCTGACGTATTTATAGTATCTTCATCTATATTAGATTTAATGGATATATCCAAATTTGAATCCTTATCCATCTTTGTATTATTCTTGTTACTAAGATCTTTTTCTTCTTTTCTATAAACCTGTTTTTGTTTCTTATTATCCGACTTGTTATCATTGTAGGATCTATTTGGTTTATTACTTTTTAAAGGTTTTACCCCTGGTAAAATTGGATTAACATCTAGCGTCCACAAATTAATGTCTACTGTACCTCTAGACCTCAGTCTGGGATTTGCAAGATGATTATTTGGCTTTTTAAGACTTAATTGATCATTAACATCCGAGTCTGATGTTGACTTATCAGATGAAGATGTTATTTCTGAAGGCTTTAAATTTTCCTTGGTTAAGTCTAGAGTGCTGGACTCCCCATCTTCAAATCTTGGCTTTTTAGTTTTTGGCTGGCTTGGTGACCGAGTCTTTTTACCTCCCCCCCTTCTAGTCCGTTTCAACACATTTTCCCCCTTAGCTACAATTTTATTTTTAAAGCTAACCTGATTTGTTGCGTCTTCGCGGGAATATGTTAACATGTAGTTTTCTTCTTCAATTTCCCTTTGACGTTTTTCTTCCTGCTCCTTGATTGTCGCAATTTGGTTTATCTCCCATATCCGTTTTTGTTCTTCAATTCTCCTTTCTTCAGCTGCCAGATATTCCGCAGACAAAGTCGATTCTGTGAGTTCTAGAAACTGCATGGCATATTTCTCTACCGGCGTTAACTAAAAATGAAAAAAAAAATTAAATTCACCATGGATGAAAGGTTCAGAATAAGTATTAATATAATAATAATAATTCCTTCATTGTTAAAAGATCAGGAAGATATGAAAGTGTCAACAAAAAAAAATCTAAGTTAAAAATATTACCCAACACAAATATTTAAAAGAATTGGATCAAACGGCTAGAATAGTAAAATCTCTAAGCAAAGTTTATAATAAATAATAAAACACTAGAGGATTATAGCAAAAAAAAACTGACATCATAGTAGTATTTTAAGTTTTTATTTTAAAATTGCTTATATGAGGCTATTTTCACCAGATTTGCTTGCAGTTTAGTAAAAAGATGGGCGCAAAAACAATAAGGACTTTTTTTGAAAAAGGGATGATTTGTGAGGAGGAACGTATGTGACTTTTTGCCTTGTAACATGACTGTGGACAGTGGAAGCTGGTGAAAATCGGGTGGTGGAATGTTCTCTAAGAAATAGTAGAGAGTGGAAAATCAATATAGGAAGGAAATTAGAATTAAATGTTTAATTTTACCAATAACAGTTTTTATTATAGATTTTTGCTATAATAAAACTTAATTTTCTTGCGTGGTTTGTAATAAAAATTGTTAAACTGCATAAACACTTCTCGCGTTCAAATTAGTGGTGAGGATAAAAAATCCGTATTCCTCCTTTATTGAAGAAAACCCAATGTTCAATAAAAATAACAAATGATCTTTCCTCTCCTGCGCATGATCCAGATAACAATAACCACAACAGATCGTCAGAATGAAACCTGCAAAGATCCTGTGAGAAAAATTAGCCTTACCGTTTTAATAATATCATTAATCGTCTGCTGAGCCTTGCTGATTTCTGGCTCCTTCTCTTTCTCCTCATGGTCTAAGGGAATGTTTTCGTCAAATTCGGCCAATTCCGCAACAGCTTCAGCTGTGGCTATTTTGGTAGCCTGCAAGATAAAAACAAAATTTAGATTTCCAAGAGAAAAAGATTGAACAAAATTGAAAATTGAAAATACAGTATCAAAAGAAACTCATACCTGCACATCTTGGTCATCTTCACAAGCCGCCAAGGCGTTTTCTAGAGCAGATGTTTCATCCTCATCATTATCACTTACAGGAGTTTCCTTATCTTGTCTTTTTTCCACCAACTCGGACATACGCTGAGCGGCACTATCCTTTGTTTGATCAATATTGAACAAGTCTACAATTGTAGTCTGAAAATCGAATAAAACATCGTCTCCAAAAGCGATTAAACCAATCAAATAAGCTACTCACGTTATTTTTAAAATAGGCGGTGGTGAAATTACCACCCTCTATAGCTAGATTCCCAAGTAATCTTTTTTGATTTGCCTTCTTCAAGATGTTTTCTTCTATAGTCCTTTCGCTAATAAGTCTGAAATACAACATACTTGTCTATTTAAAATGCTAACAAAATGTTAAGATCTGTCAAAATAGATGATGATATTGAATAATGTAAGTAATATTCATGCACAATTATTACATTTAAGAAAAACTATGCTTGGTAAATTAATCTATTGCTTTACTTCCTGGAAATTGTAACTGAATTTTATTGCATCAGTTTCATTGGATCAGGAAGATTTAAAATTACATTTGATTTGATACGAAATTAAATTTGAAAAATATATACAGGGTGTCCCACAATCAACGTTACAGGCCATAACATTCTCATTTTTAGCAATAAAAATTTGCAACAAAAAAAAAAACAATCAATGCTCTCTTCAAAAATATTTAAAAAATCTTCCCCTGGCAAAATCATCCCCTATTTACAACTCTTGACTTTTTGTTTTCAAATGGCACCCCTATGTATCTTTGTGGATAAAAAAAAGTGATGGCCTGTTCAAGGCTAATTGTGGGACACCCATTTTTTTCTCCAAGAGACATGAAAAAACAAACTTTTCATACACCATTAAATTTGTTATTTCATAAGCTCCTCAAAAATAAAAAAAATAAAATAATAGGGGTGCATTTGAAAAAAAACAATCAAGGGTAGTATTTAGGGGAATATTTTTTCATATTTTTGAAGAAAACTTAACTTGCCATTAATCGTTTCAAATTTTTATTTCTAAAAATAAGAAAGTTATGGCCTGTAACACTGATTGTGGGACACCCTGTAAAAGTATTCAATAGAAACTCGCCTATAAATATGGACATCCCTAGTTTGCCCAATTCTGTGGCAACGATCTTGCGCTTGTGCATCCATTGTGGGATTCCAGTCAGAATCGTAAAAGATAACTGTATCTGCTCCTGTGAGATTGACGCCAACACCTCCCGATCTTGTTGATAATATAAATACAAATATCCTTTTGTCGCTGTTGAATCTTTCCATTAATATCTGAAAAAAAATGTGTTAAATATAAAAAACGTTTTATATATAGAAAACAAGGAGCTCATGAGATGGAGCGACGATGTAGCAATGTTGCTAATATTGTGACACATTTAAAAAACCTTGGAAACCATTTACTTTTAATCCTTGGTATATTAAAATGAAAGTAGTCCATATGTTTGCGTATTGAGATAAAATGTTTTTTTATCCCGTAACACGATGGATCGGTAGCAGCTAAAATAGGCTCCTTTAGGGAAATCAAAATAAAATATTGTTTCACACAAATTTCTGGAAATATTTGGGTCTGCACACCTAGGTGAAATTTGTTTCCACAAATAGAGGACATACATAAGTCCAACTTAGGAATGCCAGACCTTTTTGAAATTATAAAATTTACGGGTATTACTAGTTGCCAGAATACCTAAAACATTGCTTATCATTTAGCAATAGAAAAAATTTGAAGAAAAAATTGTTTTTAAATTAATTTTATTGTATTGAATATTTCTGAGAATTAAATATTAAAACACATCGAAATTGAAGCATACCTGTCTTTGTTCTACTTTAGTGGTTCCATCCAATCGCAAATAGATATGACCATGAAAGTTCAGGAACGCCTCCAGTACGTCCAGCATCTTCGTCATCTGGGTGAAAATCAAGACGCGGTGACCCTCAACTTTCAAGTTTCTGAGTAGCCTGTCAAGCATCTGCAACTTGCCGCAATCATATTGGATAAGCCTGCGGTCAGGGAATTGGGTAACCATCATGGTAGCGATACGGTGCAAGGGAGAGATTGTTTTTCTGAACACCAACTGGATGATTTGATCATTGTCTTTTCGTTTTTGGTACTCGCTCGGTGGAGGATGCCATACCCTAACATCAGGATCATCTGCCTTTGCAGATGGTATGTAAATTATAAATCTGAAGAAAAAAATATGTTTGATTTTGCTAAATTATGAAGGCCAATCAAAATGATTGCAAAATCAGTTTTTAAGGTGAAAAAATCCAACAAACTGAATATTAGTTCACTTTGATGACCTTCAATAAAATAATATATCAAAATTCTCATTGCCAATGTTGCAACTTTTTTGCAAAGAGATGTCAACCCTCTTTCACTAATTTACAAAACTGCTCATTTTATTCCTATTTTTAAGAGAAAGCCTTATTTTATTGGCCTATATTTTTTAAGAATCAGCCGTAGCTATTATTCAAGCTTATGTATTTTCTGTTCTAACTACACTTTATTATATAATAATAGTGTATGTAACATTCATGCATAACTTTTATAAAGCAAATGCCATGCTTGGTAAGTTACCTAATATTGTACTTCCAATTAATTAAATTATGATCAAATAAAATTTCTTTAATCACATTGGATCTGGAAGATAACTGAAAAAATGTATAATCAATAAAAAAATCTCACCTATCACAAATATCCTGTAATTGGTGTATCCTTCTTACAGGAGTATACAAAGCCTCTTTAAGAAATTCCGGAGTCCATTGTGGTTTTACTCCATAAATAGCTTTTACACAATGGAGCCTACCGTTAGACCAAGGACGAGTTGTACTGGGTTCAGTAATTTTCACACAATCTACTAGCTCTCTGCCATACAAAGGACGTAACAAGCAACGCTTTCTATTGATACGTGACATTAGACGCACCCTTTTTCTATATCTTTGATCAGGAGTATCTTCTTCCTAAAAATGACAAAAATTTGGATTTTTTTTTTTGTAAAAATACCTGACGGTCCAAGGAAATATCTTACCTCACTACTAACTCTCCTCACTCTTTGACGCTTTGGTGGATATATTTCATCTAAAAAATCGAAACAAGGGTTTCGTGGACGTTCTCTCACTAGTTGCGGCGTATTTGTGTTGCAATTCTACAATTTTCATAGACTGATTAGGAAGAATATCAATTACGTATTATCAATTTGAACTAATTATTGAAAGTTAGAAGTTATTATCAACTGTATTTACAAAAACCACTAATTTCATAAGGTTTCTTTATTTTGTATTTTTGACCAAGTTTTAGGATGTTAGTTTTGATATTTTTTGTTGAAAATAAAAGATATTTAGGTGAAAATTTAACTCTCTACCTACCGGGGCACTACTTGTTGAAGGTGAGCTGCTTGCCAAGACTGCACCAGAATCATGTATATTCCTGCTAGTTGTGGCAATTTTGTTCGTCTGTGCTAAGCCCCTTATTGGAGTTATGCCGGTTATCGGAGTTATGCCGCCTACTTTAGTTAACGGGGTTATGCCGCGTACTGGGGCTATGCCACTTGTCGAGGCTACGCTACTCGTCGATTCTATGCCGCTCACCGGGAGTGTGCTGCGAACAGGGCCTACGCCACGTACTGAGGCTACGCCACTTGGCGGGGCAGTACTCAAAGGGGCTATACTGTTTGTTGTTATCGGAGTCAGTGAAAGTCTACCATATGCCCTTGTAATTATTTGATTGCCGTTTGGCGATGTTAGATTGGAATTTGAATTCGGAATGATAGCTTGTTTTGTCGAAAGAAACATCACTTTTTGTGCTGAAACGATATATCAAAACCTTTAAATACATTCAAATTATTTGAGCATTCAGTAATTACCAGTGTGAGTGACAGCAGAATTACCCCCAGAACCGGGGCTTGATGTCAGCAACAGATGTTTCCCTGTGGGAGTTTGCACTATTTGCGCATAATTCGACGCCCTATCGCCATGCTTTAGGACTGATGCAACGTTTATTGGTGAGACAAGACCTTGTCCAGCAGCCTGACTGAAGGTGAGCATGGGAACCGCTAAAATAAATATGTTAGGCTGTTACTCCCGAGCTCAATTTGATTTGGTAGTACTGCAATTAAATTATCAGAAAAATGCCTCAAGCTTTTAAACTGGCAAACCCCATTATAGTGAAAAAAACCGAAATTTTGCTTTACAAAGTGTTAAAATATTAAAAGTTACCAAATCGTGTTTATCGTAAATATAATAATTAAAAATCTTGTACATTCTAAATAATGAAAAGACATTTCAATATGATTCCCCATTCTATTCATTATCAGATCTTACACTATCTGAATTATTAGGTACCTACTCTTTTTAGTTTTTAGTAGTAAATTCGTGATCATGGGATCAACTGCAAAATATTAGTTTTTCTAATAGAATAATAAATGTTATTTTTAACTTTGGATGAAGTTTGTTTCTCAATTTCGATATTGCAACAATGGACTTTGAATTCAAATTCAATGGTCTTTGTTACGAATTAAACATTTTGAGATTTACGCATGAAGCATTGTTACCAGTTTAAGTAAAGTATCCTCGAACGTATCTTTAATCCCAAGATAGAAATAGAAAAATACTAATACATGCAAGGACAAAATAAAAAAAATGAGAGTAAAAAAAGAACCTAGCACAATACGTTTTTGATGGCCTCTCAATTATTCACAACTCGTGAATTTTCTTCCGGAAGACGAAATCATTGTTGAGCTCTGCTGGTCCTAAATTATGGTTTTGGTATGGAGTTCAAATGAAGTTTGTCGATTTCTTACTATATAAACTCAGAATTGATAAAAGCCAGCTAAGATACGTAGGGTTTTCCTTACACTTACATTTGGGTTGAAAATAATTACTAATAACATAAATTGCTCTGAACTCTTGGCACTTCTGAACTTTCCGATACCATCTATCCATACACGCCTGAATAACATATTCGTAACTAATAGAATCCGGACCGACATTGGCAAAAATAGTGTTATGAACCGTATTATGCTTCTCTTCAACACATATTATATCCCCATGAATTTTGATTTGAACTGTACTTCAACTGCCTTTAAAAATAAGTTGAGGTCAATACTGGCTTTTCCTCAATGATCTCAGACAAATAAGTACTTGGCAAACATAGTTAACAAATTGCTTCATAAAAGCTCATATAAAAGACGGGAGCAGAATAATAAACCCTGGATGGCGAGGGCAATTAATTCTGGTTCTGATTTTGATTTCCCCGGTACTAAATATTAATTTTTCCCAATCAACTCTGATAAGTTGCAGCTCCGATGTATAGGTAAGGGCAGCCAAAATGTCGTTGTTGGACACGACTTTAACCCTTAGCATAGTTAACTTTATTTTTTTTATTTTTTTACATACATAAGTTATACCATTTGGAGCTTGCTCTGTTGTGTATTGTACTAAATAAATAAAGTTTTGTGCCTGTGCAGTCAACAAATCTAAATCTATAAAATCAATTGTCCTGACTGATCTATTAACGGACAGCCATTTGAAACATAGCTTTAATTTATAATGACAGCATCCACTAAGGAAGGATTTTTGGAAATTTCAACTTTAAGGAGGAAAATGTGGAGCAACTTTGTACAGAAGTGTTTATTTTTGGCAACGCCGGACGTGTTTTTTTTTTTATATTCGCTAGTTTTTAGAGTCTTTTTAAAACAAAAAAAGGAATGATACAAGACATGTAACATAGGCGGCGACTGTGTGTTTAAGGATGAAGTTTTTTTGTGTAATTTCTTTCAAAAGTATGCCATCAGCTGTTCCGTTTTGGAGGCGGAGTGTCGCGACGTTGCCGCGTCGGAGTGTATTGTGTGTAAGGACAATCTAAGGGTAATATTTTCCTGTGATGGTTGTGGAGTTGGACTATGTAAAACTTGCGCCGGGCCGAGTAATGGTATTTCATTGTAAGAAATGCAAATGTTTTGAGACTTCCATGTTGCCTCAAAACACTATTGAAGACAAAACTATCATTATTGCTAGTAAAGATGAAATAATCTGCCTGTTGAAAGAAAACATTGAAGAATTAGAAAGATGTTCAAATGCTGTGAATGGTGTAATTTCATACAGTGATGTCGCAGAAAGGACCGAGAGTGATCTCAGAAAGAACATCAATCCATCCAAGATCAGAGTTGCAATAAAAGGAGCTCGAAGCACTGCAAATGTTATTATCAAATGCCGGGCCAGGGAAAACTTGTAGATTCTCTGAATTAAAGAAGCCGAGTCTAAAAATTATAGGGTATGATGGGAAACTAACTGAAAAGGAACTGGAAACGTGCCATAGGGAACAGAATTAATTTATAGATCAGAAGGATGAACTACATATGTTACATACATGAGGCGTAATAGAAAAAATAATTTGTGCTCCATATTTGTAGAATGTTTTCCAATCTGTATCATAAATTTATGGCTATGAAAAAATTGTATATTGACTGGAAGAGATATCCAATTTATGAGGAGTTATCAATTACACGGTGCTTTAAATGTCAGGAGCATTATCATTAAGTTGAGAACTGTCAAAATAATCTCGTGTGAATATCAATGACCTATAACCAAAAACTGGAATGCGCACACATATTGACGAACGTGAAGCCTAGTGCCGCTGCTACGGAGGGGATGCTTGTTTTTGTCACACTCATTATGTCAAATGGCGGAAATTGATTTCCAAGCGTTTTCCAATTAATAAAACCTGTGTAGGTAAACATAACGAAACTTTCCAAAACGTCACATGTCAGCAAGCAACAAAAAAGAACAACATTCCCCCTTGTGGCATCTGTCTTTGTTGGCTTCACTTTTTGGCGGATATGGCAATTAGCGTGCGCATTCCAGTTCGTGGTTATAGTTCAATGGTGAATATGGTTCAAATCAAATCAAAATAAGCTTTATTGCCCAAAAAATACTATTGTTTTTCATTGACAAAGCAAAAATCTTATTACCTACTAATTAATTCTAAGTAAATTAAGTCAGACTTTTACCACAGTTATGAACCTTAAAAAAGACAAAAATCACAAATCAAATCACTAGTTCAAACTATAAACTTATGGTGCAAATTAGGTTAATAAACAAAAATAAGAACTTTAAGAAAAAAAAATAGAATAAACATAAACATAAATCTCAAAGCATAATCCTATATCAAGAAGGAAAGCATAGACTGTGAGTTATTGAAAAACAAACTAAATTTAGAGAAAAAACCTATCAATGTGCTTCATTTGAACATTGGTAGCATCAATAGAAACTTTAATGAGCTATTAGCGTTCCTAGAAACTTACGAACCGGAATTTTGTGATGTTATTGTATTATCTGAGTCTTGGCAGATCACTAACGATCAGTTGTTTGATATTGATGGGTATACCATGATATATAATAAGGCAGACTTGAATAAATCTGACGGTATATTGTAAAATTAGTCTACTCAGGTATTTCTATAAGCATAGTAGATCATGATGTGCATAATGTGTCTTTCTCCATTTATTGTATATAAAGGCCCCGATCCTCGGGGACATGCTGCGAATCTCAGTGGAGCTTTGAATGTCACATTCAAAGCTCCACTTGGATTAAATATCCCTTAAGTTATAGCGATGCAAAAAGCCGTAAGTACATCAATGGAATAATTCACACAGACTTTTCAACCAATTGGAATTTAGAAAAAAAATGTTCCTTTTATTGTCAATTTTGACATTTAGTTTTTGGAACAATATGACAATGACAAGGATTAATTTTCACTTATTGTTTCACTTAAGTACTTTGAATATTTCAATAGCATTATACAGTTATAGGAAGAACCTTTATATAATTTTTTTTTTCTATGTTCTAAGGGTTTAAATACAAGTACCTATTTACATGAATCATGTAATAAACTCTAACCAAAGTTGAACATTGAAGGTCACTTACTCATCCTTGTAACCATAGGATTCACATGTTCGGACCTATTTTGGTTTGATAAACACAGTGTGCGTGCAATAAAGACAGCAGCAAAAAAGCAACGTCTGTGATATATTCGAGTAAGTGACCTTCAACGTTCAACTTTGGTTAGAGAGTTTATAAATTTTTCTTTAATATGTTGTTTATATCGCGGGGGACACTTGGGATGATGTGAAAAGGACGGTTAGTAGTGAACTGATGGAAGTAAAAGACTGGCTGGATAATAAAAAATTAACACTAAACATAGGAAAGACTAAGTATGTGGCATTTTCACTCACAATGGCAAATCGACCAGATTACTCCGACATTTTTGTGGAGAACTTCCAGAGTGAAATCGAGGAGGTCCCCCACATTAAGTACCTTGGGGTGATCATTGATAAGCACTTGAAATGGGAGGAACAGGTTTTGAAGTTGAAAAATAGAATCAGGAAACTCATTCATAAATTTTATCAGATAAGAGAATCAATGGGCCAAAAGTTATTGATCTCAATATATAAGGCTTTGATAGAATCACTATTGAGATATGGCATTATAGTCTGGGGTGGTCTGTATAACAACGTTCTGGAACAACTCAATGTTGCACAAAATTATATCCTCAAAATTATATACAAAAAGAGTAAACTATATCCAACACACCAATTATATAATCATCAGATTTTCAATGTAAGATCCTTATACATTTTAGAAACATGTATTTTTGTATACAAACAGGATAATTTTAGGAAATATGTAAATCATGACTACCCAACTCGCATCAATATTCAAATGAACCTCCAGATACCTCAAAGTAAGTCAACAATGAACTTCAGATTCTTGAATTATCTGGGCCCAAATTTTTTTAACTTACTACCTTCAGAATTGAGAAATACAGCAAGTCTGAAAAAATTTATTAAAAACTGTAGATGTTTTATATTTAACAAAAAGGAGGAGTTTGTTAATCTTTTAAAATAAAAAATTAGGGAGAACCTTATTGTTATTGAAATTATTCTTATCTGCCTTACACTGCATGTATTTCTTTAAGAAAAAACTTTACCTAATATAGGACTTTTAAACAAATGGATGATTATAGCACATACAGGGGATCTAATCGCCTAGAGGGGATCTAATCGCCTAGGTGCTTAAATTACAAATTGTGAGACAATATATTAGCAATAAGGACTCTTTGTAAAACAATGTAAATTCAAAATAATTCCGTAATATATTTGATTTGATATATTTTGTAAATGGCTGAATAAAATATCTATTAATTTTTTTGCTTAAAAAACCATTATAAACTTTTACTTACTTTTGACAAGTCCCTGGCTGACCACTTGCATAGTACTACTGACAACTCCAGAGGTGACTACTTGCATTCCAGTATTGATAACGCCTGTAGTGACCACTTGTATGCCAGAACTGCTAGCTACTTGTATGCCAGAACTGCTAGCTACTTGTATTCCAGTACTGCCTACCACTTGCATACCGGAACTGCTTGCCACATGCATGCCAGAACTACTTGCTACTTGTATACCGGAACTGCTCGTCACTCGCAGAATAGAATTGCCTGTGACATCCATGCCCAGCACTGGTAACCCTACATTGCGCACCACAGTATTACTGTCACGGCTAGCCACCCTTGTTCTGGAAATCGACTGACCAGACACTTGTTGGGGTTGTTGTGGCGGTCTCTGTTCTCTTTGACTTACGCTTACAACTCTCATTCTCAATCTAACTGGAGGCGTACCTGGTGGTGGCTGGTTTGTAGTAGATGGTGGTTTTAACCCTGTTTTATAGGCCAATGCTCTAATTCGGTGGTATTGTGAAGAAGTTATCCGAAACTCTGCCATCAGAATCAATAGATTTAATGTATACAGGTTAACGTGCTGAAATTAACATTAAAAATATGCAATGTATGAATTGTCTTGGTTTTTACATGGAGCTTGTCAAAAGAGAACCTTCACTTGAATTCAGGGTACGCAGTGGCAAGTTTCTATTAGTAGCGAAGCGCATTTCTTTACTGAACGTCGAGTAGTGCGGATTGAGTACACTCCAACAAAAAGTACACGTGAGTTCTGTTGTGAGTATGGAGTTTCAATCAAAAGCTTTAGGTACTATGCCTGGTTTACTGAGTGTACCTTGCCAAAGCGGGGAGGCGAGAGTCAAGAGTACATATTGTCTGTCAATTTTAATCTGATACTCCAAAGGATTATGAGCTGGTGGCTCCCTACATTAAAACACCCCCTCGCTCCTCATTCGAAAAGTGTCAGATTAAAAACGACGGACTTTAAGTGCATACCATTTGCTCCAAATGTTGTCTTGCTTCCCTTTCTGCACATCTGAAGTGAAAGCTCTTGTTTGGGCAGCTCTACATTCAAGCATTTCAAAACAAAGGACATCGCACACATCTTATGGGTTTTCGGGGACCTTTTCCACAATTTGGTATGTTGTAGTACTAGCAAAAATAAGCATTATTCATCATTATTCATCATTGCACCAAATCTCTAACTATACAAGGTGACCTAGTAAAGTGAGTCCAACAATCATAAAACAAGCCTTTCAATTATCGATGTTGGCGCGCCCTGCAAGCTACATATCGAGATTTTTGTTTTCGATTTCGCAAATAATTAGTCCAAATGAGCCTAATATACTATACAGGGTGACTGAGGTTGAGTATTCTCTTAGAAATCCTGCCCTATTCTTAGAAATAGAGTTGACAAAAAGGTCGCGCTGGATTTTATTTGCCGTAACTTTTTTAATTTTTGTCCGATTTGAAAAAATGTGGTCTTAAAATAAAGCCTATATCACAGGGATGTCATGAAATCTGAAATGTGATAAAATTGGTGATGGCGAAAAGTAATAAAAGTATAATTTTTTATTTGATTGTGGAATCTTACGAACTTCAAACCTGGTTTGAAATTGAAAACAGGACCCAAAATGGTAATTACTAATGTTGAGAGTAATTAAATGTAGTCAAGGCCGGAACTGGAACCCGCGCTGGGAGGTTCCAAATATTATGCCACTGGACCACCTCGGAATTTGAAAAACCTGTGTAAAATAAACATCCTGTATAGTATATCAGACTTATCTTGACTATTTATTTGCGAAATCGAAAACGAAAATCCCGATATGTAACTTGCAGGGCGCGCCAACATCGATAATTAAAAGGCTTCTTTTATGATTTTCGGACCCGCTTTACTGGGTCACCCTGTATAGTTAGAGATTTGGTGCAATGATAAAAAAAAGCTTATTTTTGCTTGTACTACAACATACCAAAGTTTTTAAAAAATCGACCAGTCCCCGAAAACCCATACTTAAGTGCGATGTCCTTTCCAATTTCACATTAAATTTGAGAGTCGAATGTTAAACAATATTAATTTCAAGTTTAATGAAATCATATATTTTAAATTACCCTTATAATTCTTCACATAAAATTTGAAATTAAATAATATAAATACTAACCTTGAGCACATCAAACAGAAGGGCCGAATATACAATAGATGGTATGTGCAATTTGATGTTATCACATTGAAAAGGAGACAGAGTTGGCCTTACTTCAAAAAGGTTGGGATGATTACAAACTTTTCTTAATTGCATAAGCACATTTATTACGCTAAGTAAATTACCACTAGCAAGAGTCTCACGAGTCCTGAAAAAGAAAAATGAAACTTGAACTTTTTTGTTCATAATTGGAATTTTTTTTTATTTGCCTTTTTTCATTCTAATCTAAAATGTATTTCTTCTATTATTCCAAGTGTTTAGACAAAATTAAAAACTTTTTCTGCAGGTGCTCTTTGTTCACAAAACCTTACAAATTTATGAAAATGCTTTACTTTCGATATAGTGTCTTCTTCTTAACTTTGCCCCAATAAATTTACAGGACCAAGAATGTAATCTTACCCAAATACAATTTTTTATATACTTACTTTGCTCTAGACATGAAATCATCATATAGATATCGCTGCCTATTTGACAATCTACACATTTTTATATGCTCATATTTTTTCGGCATTTGTTTTTCTACTTCTGATTTTAATCTCCTCAACAAAAATGGTCTCAAAACCTACGAAAAATAGTGAAAATGATTTCAGCATTATATACCTAATCATTTAAAATTGCCTTTAATTCTCATTGAAAGTACATAGGTCAACATAATTTATTTATTTATTCATTTATTTAAAATATTTAAAAAATTATTATGGCTGTGAGTGAATGAAAATGAAATCTGTATATTATTACCTTATGCAGTCTTTTGATAATACTGTCATTATATTCGGAATTGCCTTCAATCATCCCAGAGACTGGATTGGAAAACCATTCCTTGAATTCTCTGTGTGACTGAAATATACTTGGCATTAGAAAATGCATTAATGACCACAACTCCATTAGGTTGTTTTGCAATGGAGTACCCGTCAACAACAACCTTCTTTCACTTTGAAAGTTTAATAAAAGCTGCCACCTGCAAATAAAAATATTGTGATAGATATCATTTTGGATATGATTAAATGCACTCCCTTCATCATTCCCAAATAATTATATCATAATTAAATTTTAATTAAACTATTTATCAATTAAAAAAAAAACTTACCTTTGGGATTTAAAATTTTTAATATTCTGGGCTTCATCTAATATTAAATACTTCCATTTCTTTCTCCTGAAACTTTGGTGATCTTGAATTACCAATTTATATGAAGTAATGCATATATGGAAAGCATTATATTTAGTCCACCCTCTTCTCTTTTGCTTTCTCTCCTTGTGTGGTCCATAGTAGGTTAAGATTTTAAAACCAGGACACCACTTTTTACATTCCATCTCCCAATTAAGCATCACAGAAGTGGGTACTATAATAAGATGGGGTCCCCAGTTTCCTTTTTCACAAGCCAGATGAGCTAATAAAGCAATAGTTTGGATAGTTTTACCTAGTCCCATTTCGTCGGCAAGAATACCATTCAGTTTGCGTTCGTACATAGTTACAAGCCAGTCCAAACCAATGTGCTGGTACTCACGAAGAGGTAGTTGAAGAAGGAAAGGTACTTTGGTTGAAACTGTGGTGGAAGACAGTGTGTTGCCTTTGGGCTGAATACTTTCTGCTATAGCGGTAGCATTGTTTAAAAGGTCATTTTTGTCGTCAGTCTTCGTTTTTTCTCCCTCCCATTTCTGATCGTCCAGAAGCATTTTAATGCTTTGGTTCTCTGTTTGAGAACCTTCTATTTTTTCAGTGTCGCTTTCTTCAACTGAATCAAATTCTTCAGAATCGGTCGCATTTGCCGTTTCTTGCATCTCATCATCAGAATCATCTGAGCTTAACCTGATATTATCCCTATTTAAAAGATAATCTACTAGAACGTCGTCCTCAAGCAAATCGTCTAATTCCATTTGAGATTCTTTCTTTAAAGCCTCCAATTCCGCAGATTGATCTTCATTGCTGGGAGCTGCTTCCTCCTTCTCAATGGTTTCTTCATCATCTTCATCACTTTGTAATGATGGACAAAAGTCGTCATCTGATGGAGCACGGGATTTTCTCTGCGAGGATATGTTACTGATAGAAGGCACAGTGGCAGCAGGTTTGTTCATACCTTCTGCTAACAGCCGAGTATATTTCTCAGTCTGGTCAACGATAAAACTCAAATGGTGATCAATGACCCTTTGCCGTTTTTCCTCCAAAATAGTATTTTGCCTGTATTCAACAAGCTTCTCCACATTGCTCCAGAAATTTCTTATTTCCTTGGCACAGAATGCTGCCAATTTCTTCTTATGCTGTTCGAATGCCTTTTCTGCTCGCTGAGCAGCTAAAGCTTTCTCTTGAAAGTATTTTTGTACCATTCGAGAGCATTTTTTCGCGTTGATTTTTTTCCATTTGCGCTCTTGTGCAAAATCTGTCGATAGCCACATCAATTCCTCAAGGGCAAAGTCCCAATGGGCTTTTGTTCTTTGCTTCTCTTGAACCTTGGGAAGCCGTTTTTCTGACCATAATCCCTCCTTTTGTAACTCGCCAATTCGTTGCAGCACAAAAGCCTCCTGCTTAGCCTTTTCAACAATTGATTCTTGATTGGTGCTAGAAGTAGCACTAGTAGCCTTTATGGACGTGACATCTAGAGAAGGGGATACTGTGGACGTTAAATTTTGGTTCATTCGAGGAACCGGCTTTGTTGGCGGCTGCAACTGGCTAGAGTTGCTCAATGAAATACCAGGCAATGAACTTGTTGCAGTAGCTGTTGGTGTACTTGGAGTAGTATGAGGAATAAATATTCCTGTTGAAGTACCATCAATGGAATGTTCTCTTATATAGTTCAAGTATTGCTGGTTTTTTGGAAACCTTTGAAACTGAACCAGTTCTAAAATATTGCCTCCTGATTCTAGAAGGTACATCTCTGCTAAATGGTTATCATATTTTTCCTGTACAAGTCTGGATTTGATAGTTTTATGATTTAATACTTTCAGTTTTTTTACAGCATAATCTTTCTTTTCAGGACTAGATATTAAAGAGCGCTTAACAATCCCCCTCGAGTGTGTTGGAGTTGCTGCTCCTAAAAAAAAAAATATATATTTTTTTTTTTCAAAAACAGCGTGTTTCAAAAAGTTAGACCCCAATAATGGGGATTTTTGTTAATACTGTGATGGGAAACAATTTTTTTTATGCAATCAACTCTGCTTCGAAAAATACGCGAGATAAGCAGGCCATTTCAAAGTTGACAGGTGACATAATGTATCTGCCACATTTTCATTAGTAAAAATGAACAATGAATAATCAGTAAAAATATAAATCAGAAATTTTAAAGAAAGTATGAAAAAAAATATAAAAAAAAATGTTTCTGTAACCTGAGAAATTATAAAAAAAAGTTCACGAAAATTGAATATTTTTTTTTTTTCAGTGAACTAAATTTAAGAATGATTTGAAATGTTTTTTTTTTGAAACGTGCCCTTCCAAGTAAAACAGATTTTGACTGATGTGCGTTTATTAAGTTTTTCCCAAGTTAAGTAAATTGTGCACAATCTGGCAAACCGGAATTTAGGTCCCCTGGTCCCTCGAAGAGCGGAAGAGCCCCCAAATATAAAGCCTCGACCCAATACGGCTTGAAATAATAAAGCAGGCCTTCAAAACCGTCTTTGAAACTTATTGATCAACTACTGTATTGACTAGAGTTTTTGAGATGATGGATTAATCTAGCCAATTACCCAACAAGAAGTTGACCTTTCTTGGAAATTTCCATAAGAGAATTCACTGGAGAACTATAAAAGGCTCAAAGTAGCGCTAGTTTTGCCATAATTTATGTGTTATTGTTTTAAATAAAGTTAATTCGGATGAGTAAGAAAATCTGACTTATCCGGATTGTTTGCTTTGACCATGTCTTTGTCCTTGAAACTTTTCTTTTTAGATCTAAGGGGAAATTTATAGCTGGACTCAGTCAATTATAATTTTGTACTACATATTTTGGTTATAAATTGTTGAGAGCTGTTTTTGTATATTGTAGCTACGAAGATTGCATAAGCCATTATTCTATGATAAGCAACTGGGATCATCTTTGTGAAAGGTCGCTAAGTCTAGTTAAAATGTATGTAGGTATTTACCAGATGTTGTAGCAATGGCTGTGTTGGTGGCGGCCCCATCATTGCTCTGAATAAGTTGAAAATTGTGAATATTCAGTGTTGGTGACTTTGTTAGAACATTTACTATAGACTGGTTGGTCAGACTGGGCCTTAAGGGAGAAGGTTCCCCCCTAGATGGAGTTATATTTATAATACGAGTCACACCCCCTGGTACATTTTGTGAACCAGCGGGGCTCAGCTAAAACAACCAAATTCAAATTATATCAGTTATTAATTAACAAAGTTCCAAAAATTGATCTTTACCTGTGCTAAGGCTGGTACCCCATGAGGTTGTGTAGTTAAAAGATACTGGCTGCCAGGAACTTGTGTCAAATTGGTGGCAGTAGAGCGGTCTGATGCCGTCGCAGGTCGACTGTTTTGGCCTTCTCGCCCAGGCAGATCACTCTGTGCAGCCCCAGGCTTATCATGATCCATTAGTGGCCTGAAATGCAAAAATATAATTTTTAGTAAAATAATTGAAAAGTTTTCGTTCTTTGCCTTTTCCATCCGCAGACACATTTCGCACTCATTAGAGCTTGTCAGTGCGGCACAGGAAAAACAAAAAAGCACGTAGCCGAACTGAGAACGGACTATGGCCTTCACTGGGGCCTATTTGATGGCTGGCACTATGGATGGCAATTTTTACTGACTAGTTCCTTTACTGTACTTTAAATATCATGTACTTTATTTTCTGAAGAACATTTACTACAAGTACCTGGAATGGTCGCGCCGATCTATCAAAATATATTTAATTTTTTTTTTTGCTATATAGCTATCTTTGGATGTCCAAGGATAAACCGGTCCTAAGATGCCATACTGACAGGGTTCAGATCCATTCCAGTTACATGTAGTATATAGTTCATTGGGCACACTATAGTAGGCTTTTTTTCATACTAGCGCATTTAGGTACAGCCAATTTAAATTTTTTATCATTTGATAATCATCGATGCGTATTGTATTCATAGTGTAGCAGAGATAACAAGTAATTTATGAATGAAATGAATACCTGGAAGTTATCTCGAAGTTGAAACAAGTGCGATGACGTCATTTTAAACCGATAAAACTAACAGATTCAAAAATTATAATAGAATTTGATTCATACATAATTCCTTTGAATAAATTAATAGTATAGTAAAAATTTCCTGATACTCCAATTCCAAAAAAATAAACCAAAATGTCTCAACCCATAAATATGCTGCTATTATATGAAAAACTCAAGGGAAAAATATTAGGAACTACCTAGTATAAAAACTCAATAAATTCAATGCATAGAAAAAATAGACTATTGACACATTACACATTGAGTTTGATATACCAGGTTATAATATAATAAGAGAGGACAGTGATAATAGACATACAGGAGGGGTATTGATATTTATACAGGATCAAATCAGTATTCTACAAATTAAAAAGTATAACTACCTAAGGAATTACTGGTTCCTAGAGATACATATATGTTTGTTTAATAAGGTTTATATTTTGGGAAATCTGTATCATTCTCCTAGTTCTAGTCATGCTGATTTTTTTATGTTTTTTGAACAGATCTGAGATAAATTGCTTGATATTGGTCATCCAGTTATAATAGTAGGTGATTTTAATTTTAATTGGTTAAATAACAACACTTATTCTACAAGATTTAAAAAAAATGCTCTTGATGTAGGATTGGAACAGTTGGTTAAAAAAGTTACTCATTCTACAGAGGTGGGTGGAAGTATTATAGATATGGTTTTCTCAAATAAGAAAGAGATTTTAAGTTGTACTGTAGAGGAAACTCCACGAATAAGTGATCATTTTATAGTTGTAATGAATTTAAATTTAAATAAAATTAAAAGGCAGAATAATATAATAAATACAAGAGGTTAAATTGATTATTTTAGAATAAATTACTCTCTTAGTAAAGTAAAGTACCGCGCTACTTTCACTTGCAGATAGCGATATTTATTCTTCAGATTAGAGAATATCCTAGAGATAAGAAAAACGAGTGTATTTTCACTTCCGTATAGTGTTATCTATCAGATAAATGCGGGCTAACTTTAAGTTAACGTATCCTGTGGTCAGACCTAAGAATAACCGGTTTTATCTGCCGAATAGCTCTTCGCGCAGTCTGTTTACTCTGATTTAGGTGACAACACAGAATTCTGATGACTAAGGCGCGGTACTTTCACTTGCAGATAGCGATATTTATTCTCCAGATTAGAGAATATCCTAGAGATAAGAAAAACGAGTGTATTTTCACTTCCGTATAGTGATATCTATCAGATAAATGCGGGCTAACCTTTAGTTAACGTATCCTGTGATCAGACCTAAGAATAACCGGTTTTATCTGCCGAATAGCTCCTCGCGCAGTGTGTTTACTCTGATTTAGGTGATAACACAGAATTCTGATGACCTAATTTTCTAAGATTTGTATTTGTTTGAATAATTCGTTAAATAGGTGTTTTTTTTTTGTTATTTACAATTTCATTTTTGTACTTAGTATTTCAAATTTCAATATTTGCTCTTGAAAGCCCCTTGCTGATGATACCCTTCAAAACATGACTGGGGATGGTATAGCAAAGGGAAAAAACTCAACACATTTCTCTGAAGTTTAAAAGTTTTATTTTTTGTTAGAATAGCCGCGTTGTATCAGTCAGGTACAAAGCCTAGCGCACCTGAAGTTTTTTGGAAATACCAAATTTCCAGGTAGAGGTACGACCATGTAATTTTGAGAAAGTAATTAGTATAGGGTGCCTAAGGACTACTAGAACCCATAATATTATAGGGTTTTTCCTTTTTGATTTATTTGCAAAAATAATAGGCATGTATCTCTCAGATACACGCGCGACTAATGGAAGATTAATCAGCCACTCCCACTACACGATACAAAAATTATTTAACATAAACTCTCTCCAAAAAAAACATAAACAAATGAATGTCAAACTCAAATCCACCACAAATCAGTCAAATGACAAGTGGAATGCGGCGGCACGACAAAAACAAGCAACTAGACAAGAGATATATTCTATCTTTATCTGAAGCATTCAACTTCCCATAAGTTTTTCTCACTTTTCGTTTTCTTTGGTTGGTAACACTAGCATTGCCGAAATACTGAAGGTACCAGCAACGGATTGTTAGCCCGAGGATAATTTTACCTGAAAATACCCCTCGGAGATATACTACAGATAGCAACCTCTGGTTTACTTATCCGATAGATAGTTATTCGCCGAATAAATTATATTTATACTGAGGTGAAAGTACCGGGCCTTAGTGTAATTGATTGGGATTATAGGGTAAATAATGGTATAAATATTAAATATACCATCTTTTATAGTCAACTTTTAAAGGTGCTAAATGAAATAGCGCCAAGAGAACAAAAACTGATAAAATACTATTCTAAAGAATGGTTTAATGAAAGGGTTAAAGAAGCAATTATTGACTGGGATAATAGATACAGAAATTATAAAATAAGTAAAACGGAGGAAAACAAAAATATCTATAAACAGTGTAGAAATAGGGTTTTAATGGTAATAAGGGAAGAAAAGAAAATATTTTATCACAATAAAATTGATGATGTAAAGAATAATCCAAGAAAAATGTGGCAGACATTAAGTGAAGTAATTTCTGACAAAATTAAAAAAATAGATATAGAAGGGCCGCAGTGATGTTAGTGAGTCATGACCAGCGCGCATGACGGCGGGTCATGACCGTCACGTCACATTCAATGTGACCGTTAGTCATGACCGTTTTACTGCATAGTGTGTAAATGTACAGTAGTAAAGTAGACTGCATAGTATGCGGTAAAGTAGATTCGGTGTTCAGGTACTCTCAAAAATCCCTTCTCGTTCAGAAATTTCAAAAATGCCTTTTTTTTGAGATAGATGCTCATAGGTATAATTTTGAATGCGGTGAAGTATCACTTACTGCATTTGTTAGGTAAAAAGCTATTATTTTTGTTATTTTATTTCAGGGTTGGAAAAAATCATGATTTTTTTGAAAAAATCAAAAAATCAGATTTTTTTGATTTAAATCAGATTTTTTTGATTTAAATCGGATTTTTTTAATTTTTAAGAATTAAACGGCTTTATTAATTTTTGATCAATTATTGGTAATTTAGTTTCAACAATGAATGATGCAGTAAATATAGTATACCTACTCCTAGACAAAATTATCGCACCACTGCACATTAAGCACCACAAAAGCAGTGGTACGATAATTTTGTCCATGAGTACATAATAAGAGTAGGTACTTATATAAAGTATAAGAAAAATAAAAATGTATTAATGTTTATTAATAAATAAATAATTTCAACAAACAAAACAGTAGATAAACGGTAATTTCTGAAAACAAAAATAAAAAACATAAATACAAATATTCGATAGGTAGAGGTGTACGTAAGGTACCTACCTATCTATTACCCTGCCCCTTAAACTTAGTAAAGAGAAAAAAAATATAAGTCAAAATAAAGTAAATAAGTCAAAATAAAGTAAATAATTCTTTTGTAAAAAATGAAAATAATACTACTTTTATAAAAAAAAATTATTCCGATTTTTTAATATACCAGCTTTGCGGCCTTTTAATTACCAAGTCGATTTCTCGAATCATTATGGCAGATTATAATACATATTATGTATGTTGAAAATATTCTCTCTACCCCAGCCGAGGATGGTATTGTAGTCAGAAATTTCTTAATAATTACTAAATCCTCTTTGGTTATCCCATTTATATAAGTATATGTATCAAAATAAACGAATATATTTTCAATTTCTAAAGATCGATTTAAATCATTGATTTTTTTCAAAAAAATCACTTGATTTAAATCATGATTTAAATCGTGATTTGTTGAAATTATTTGTCAAAACTCAATCAATAATTGACTGTCCCTATTTTAAACCCATTTGTGAGTTTAAAGACCATATACTGTGGGTAGTGGCGTTCTAAATTGAAATAATTACTATGAACTATGACCATGATCATGACCGTCATGACATGTCATGACGCAAATGACCGTCACGATTTTAAATGACCGTCATTTTACATCAGTGAGAAGGGGTAACTTATACTTCTTCAGAAGAAATGGCAGATGGGATAAATAAATATTTTGTTAGTAGTGTGCTTCAAATAGTTGATATAGTCGTATTCACGAGAGAGTTTAAATTTTGACCGTTATTTTCACCAGTTGAAAATAAATAAAATCCCCTTTTTCTGACAACTATCAAATAATGATACATGACATTTTGATTTGACACATAAAAATAACAGATTCGGGTCTTTGAATTTTGAATTTTTATGTGAAATCTTTCAGTTTTTTGCCGTTTACTGCATTATTTTTTTTATTTGTCATTATCGCAATCGGTTTTTTGGTTTTTTTATGTAGTGTTCTGTGCCTTTGTGTTTTGGTGTTGCGTTTCAAACCTGGTTTTAGTTCGGATTTAACTGTTTTGTCTTTTTATAATAGTCCAGGAG